CGAACACGATGGAACACGATGGATGTCCGAGATGTAGAGAACCGCTTAGAGTTCACAACGTTAAAGGGTCCATTCAACCCAAAAGTGGTACTTTGGTCAAAATTGGGACTCGGGTGGACTGCATCACTCCCATTTTATATTTTTGGGGTACGTCAGTGCTGGTTAGGGATATGTGGAGAGATTATGCAAAAATATATATTTGCCCGGATAAAACTCTTTAACATGCATTTAACTTTAACCCTTTCACTACCACCAGTGTATGTCATGCGTTGGCAGCAACGTGCAGCTTGTAGGCATACTTCAGATGGGTATGGCAGCTGGGAGTTTGCTTACATTTGCTAAGCCAGTGGAAATGATCACTTCCACAGGTACAGTAATATGCTACCTCCAGGGGCGTCCTGAGGCCGGATGTCACCTGGAGCGGGTGACACCCCACTGTGACGTCACTGCGCATGCACGTGACGTCATCGCGTATGCACAGCCATTTTGGTGATACCTGCCAGCAGCCATCTTGGTGATGGACGCCGGCAGAGAGAAGAGGGGACATTCACCTGGCGGGATAAGGCATGCCGACGGGTCCCCTCCTCTTTCCTGCAACTGTCGGGCTCTGGGTCCATGATCGAGTGCCCGACTTTTCAGAGGGGGTGACACCAAAATGACAAAAATGTCAGTCATTTTGGTGTCACCCCTGCAATGGTGTCACACGGTTACAGGCCGCACCCCCCTTGTGTGACGCCACGGGCTACCCCCAACACTAATACTCCCCCCTCCTCCCATGCCACTGACCCCCCACTTACCAAGTATTTTGACCTCATTCATCCATTCTGGGCACCCAGGACGTCGATGGCGAAAGCAGAGGCACTTGCTTACTGAAACTGGAAACGACGAGCTTAGGGTTGCCACCTGTCCAGAATCACCTGGACAGTTCAGGTTTTGGGTCCTGTATGTTCTGAAACCCGGACACTAGATGTCACGGTGTCAGACAAACAGGGCCAAGAACGGGGGCCTTTACATTTATGGTGTCTGTTTACTCAACGCAACCTCACCTTTTATATTTTACCAACCATTTTGTGATATATTGTGTTTGTGTGCACTTAAATTAATTTAAAATGTTTTTTTACTGAAAATGTGGGTTTGGTAAACGATTGCACTAATATCATGTGACATAAGAAATTGCAACTGCTGCCATTTTATTCTTCAGGGTCTTTGCTTTAAAGAAATATATAATTTTAAGGGGGTTTAAGTAATCTTCAGACCTAAAATACATGGCAATCACTGCTCCCCAGCTGGTTGATTGACAGCTGCTGTGATCATTAAGCAGCCGAGACTGGCATTTTCATGTAACTGCAGCTGGCACTTTTGCTGGACAGCTTGGCTTGTTACAGTGGGGTAATAGCAGATCTACTGGCAGGATCAACAGCTAATAAAACTGTTTAATGGGGAGGGGGGGGGGGGGGCTTAGAGAAACATATGTCACAACTATATGTGGCAGCCCGGTGGATGGGCCTTAATGGTCAGCTGCTACATATATGCTTTGTTATGTTGTACTGGGGTTGCTTAATGGGCGCCCCAGGAATGTGACCGAGCTGTCACCGACAGCTCACAGTCAACACCTGTGATCGGGAACACGTAGGACAGACTCCCGATTGCATCATCACCATGCAGCCAATAACAGTGAATGACTGAACAGAACAATCAAATGTTTGGCCAGAGTTCTTTTGAAGTAATTAACTCCTTATAATGCTCAAAGCTTCAAGCAGAACTTACATCAAGGCTTTTTTATGTTTTGAATAGGTTGGGGGTTATTGCTGGAGGGGTTTATTGCTGGAGGGGTTTATTACTGGAGGGGTTAATTGCTGGAGAGGTTTATTGCTGGAGAGGTTTACTGCTGGAGGAGTTATTACTGGAGGGGTTTATTATTGGAGGGGTTTAATGCTGGAGGGGTTTATTGCTGGAGGGGTTTATTGCTGGAGGGGTTTATTTCTGGAGGGGTTAATTACTGGAGAGGTTTATTGCTGGAGGGGTTTATTGCTGGAGGGGTTTATTACTGGATGAGTTTATTGCTGGAGGGGTTTATTACTGGAGGGGTTTATCACCGGAGGGGTTTATTGCTGGAGGGGTTTATTATTGGAGGGGTTTATTGCTGGAGGGGTTTATTGCTGGAGGGGTTTATTGCTGGAGGGGTTTATTACTGGAGGAGTTTATTGCTGGAGGGGTTTATTGCTGGAGGGGTTTATTGCTGGAGGTGGTAATTACTGGAGGGGTTTATTGCTGGAGGGGTTTATGAGTCCATTGGGAGGATTCAATGATAAAACTGGTAAACTAGAACCTAAACTTCACTGTGCTGCAGTTTTAAAGAAGAAAAAAAAACTAACAAATGAAAAAGGTTCATATTAGCTCTTCTGGATCATATCAGGATCAGGAAAAGTGAACACAGGGCTGAATTGTATTGTGTTCCCTTTGCTGTAATAACAAATAGAGTCCATTTGCCAGGCAGAAGATCATTTGGCAGATGTGAGTGTCAGCTCCTTTGACCATTCTGAACAGGAATATGGGATTTCTGAGGCTCGCATTCAGCGCAGACACCTGATGTGTGATAACATGTTTCCAGCAAGGCATGTCAGTATATTTCACGCTGTTCTTTCCCTGGAAAAAGCTCTTTATTGAGTTGGCTCTACGGAGGTTGAATCCCTCTAATTTTTCCACTTCTAACTGGCCTTTGTTCTGAGTAAAAATAAGTGTGCCACGTCCAGAACTGTGGGAAGGGACCGCACATCTGGGTCCGATTATCCGAGAGGGGTTATCAATAGAAATAAAGAACATCAACATGTTTAAAGGGAACTTGTCGGGGGTTTACAAGCAGAGCTCCCATCTAGAGGTGTTGGGTGCCATTGCCCTAACACCCAGGAGACATGCCAGTGTGCCAGGTGACATCATAGCTGGCGGTGCCTAGGTGAGTTCTGCCCTAGAAGTAGAACTGCTCATTGGGAGTCTCGGCATTGGCCGGCTCTGTGACAAGTAACTGGTAGGCAAATGATACAGCAGTATTCATCAGCTTTAAAGAAGAACTCTGTGAATTTTAAAAACGTACCCTGCAGTGGGGCTACACCAGTCCTTCAAGGGTTAAGCGCTCCTTTTGTCTTTAATGTGAAGGAGGGACTCTGATGTGAAGGGAGGACTCTGATGAGGGGGGGAGGATGGCACCGCCAGATACTTGCAAAACAGAAAAAAAGGGACCGGATAGGTTCCGAAACGTTGCTATGCATGGTGATAGGGAACTCTAGGCGACCAGCACATTTGAGGGACCAAACATTCCCTTTTCATCAGGTTTTAAACAAGTATGGAAGTATCTAATGAACTCTGGGTAAAACCTCTGGGTGTACTAATCTCCTCCGCAGCCAGGGCCACAGCCTGAACTTACAGATAGGAATGTTAAAATGTCCTGCTCACATAGTATTACTGGTTGACTGGTGTTGCTGACTGGTTGCTAAGACGCTGGAATCATGTTACATGACACAGGGTCAGAAAGGTGGAATTAGCCTTTAACATTACTGAAGTCCTGTTGAATGTGACTACTACTAGATGTACCATGACCTTGATAATGGAGAACCTTTACAAAACATCTCACAAAGGAAATTAGCTGGAAGAGATACAAATACACATCTCCTAACATCTAAGACAGATCTTTTATCCCAAACACAAATCATGTCCATATATTGCTGCTATTCACCCATATCTAGGTACGTTTTTGAGAAATGTGCCCCTAATATCAGTCTGAAAGATGGATATTTAGGAAGTTTTGCCCTACCAGGCTTTACAAAAAGTCATTAGTGTGTCCAAATCTGACCTGGCGGTAATGATATTTCCTCACCTGAACATCTCGATAAGGATCTGCTTACAATTACACAATTTAGGAATCCGGATGACAGAACTGCGTGATTCTATGTAGATATTGTAGGGGTTTACACCCCTAACACCCCCTGTAATAGAGCAGTGTTTTTCGGGTTTTCAATTTAGATATTACTATCCGCCAGTAGGGTGTACCCATGAGTTGTCCATGTGCTTCATCCACCAGGCTTTGTGTGACAGAGTACTGTGCTGGAGTGGTATCATTTGACTGAGGTTCCTTGATAGCCAATCAGTGCAGTGAACATCATAGTAGGAGGGATTGGCTATAGCAAACCCTATGAGCATGCTCAGAACTGGGGGGAGGTTGGTGCTCAGGTGCTGGGCAGCTGCCCAGGCCTAACGGTTAGGCCCTCAAGGCCTACCCTCATGGAATGCCATGTGCTGGCTGATTATGCTGGATCCACTACAGGGACCTTACCCATGTTAACAGAGGTCATGTGGACAATGGAGTCACCACAGGAACCTCCACTGGTCCAGGCTACAGTTTGTCCTGAAGCAGAGTATACACTGGAACCTATTTGGGAATGGAGACACTTCTGGCCTATTGAGAGGTAGAAGATGGACCTTCCACTAGGATCTGTATGCCTTACTAGAAGTGATACTATTCTATCATCAGCAGCTTTGGGTATTCTAACCTATCTATCCACATCTTCTATTCCAAGTTCTACAATAAATGTTTAAAAGGCATCCATGGACTCTATATCTGCTTACTCCTGAAAGAGGACATATGTATGTAAACACACCTGGGGACAAGGTTATCTCATCCGGGGTCCCACTTGTACACCACAAGGCCCAGCTGGGTGGAGGCACTGCCATTACAAATCGGTTACAGCCCCTTTACTCCTAGTTAGCAGAGGCTCAGGGTTTCCAGGTTACCACAGGTTGGCAGCGGTAGTTGATCGGAGACGGTCATCTCACATGACCCCCCCCACCCCGAAACAGGGCTACAATATTCTATGTTGATGTCAATTGAAAATTTTGCAGTTCACCTAATTGATCGATTTGATTATCACTACCAGTGAGTTTACACGGCAGCGGCTGTTCACTCATACCCCTCACTGGTTACACTGGATTCCAATGCAGGACCTTACCTTGTCCAAACCTGGCTGTCCTGTAGACCTCCTCTGCTCCTTTGTACCCCAACATCCGGCAAACCACGTCCCCATCCTTCTTATCCCAGCCGTCATCACAGATTGTTCCCCAGCGCTTTTCGTGATACACTTCCACCCGGCCTTCATGAGGACCGGAGCCGTTCACCAGCCGTAGCACGCCTTCTTCCGCCGACCCTGCAAAACAGCATGAGGACATGTGTCAAACATGGAGTTTTTTCTTTGGGTAATGTAACGGTAGCATTGTACCAATATTTTATTTTTGTAGCAGTCAATTTTAGGGACTTTTTTAAAAAGCTTTTAGGGAGCAAAGGCGGGGAGCCAAGACCAGACATCCTACGCCAATAGAGTGAGCACCTGTGACCTGTCGTGATTACAGGCAAAGTCTCATATTGGATTACTCCACTGATCTAGAAGAAATACACAAAGCTCACCAAGATTCAGGTAGGAAGCTTCCCTTCTCTGTCCAAAACCATACAATACTTTGATTCACAGATCTGATAACAAGGAATTTTGACTTTCTTATTCTGTATAATTGTTCCAGGTCAGCAACCCAGACAGTACTGAGGCTGGAGGGGGTCCACGTAACTGCCAGACAACTGGGATTTTGTCAGAAAGAAGAACAACAATAGGTAGACCTATTATTTTTCGAATGACAGGTTCTCTGTAAGTATAAGTGAGAAAATGAAGAATGTATAGAATACATGGTGTAAGGGGTGGAGAAGGTTTAACCATTGCTTTAAAATGAGCTCATGACTA